AAAATCGCATAACAGCCGAGCATACACCCAGCAGCGCTGCTGATGCCTGAACGGTATGTGGAATGAAGTGGGCGGGCATCGGGAGGCCACTATGGCACGGGGCAAGCACTATGGGCAGTCTATCTGAAGTGTACCTGGCGTATAAGACGACCCCCCACTTGGAGGCATATTTTTCAGGGCCAAAAAATCGTCTTATACGCCGGCAAATACAGTATCTTGACAGTCACCTTGAAAATAGACTCCTCAAATCAGGAAATTGAGCCCTCTGGATTTTGTCAATTAAAGCTGTGAAGATATACATCAATTTAATGAGGTTGTATTTTGTTCCTTGATGTTTTCCTCTCACTTGTAAAAGATGATGAACCATCACTTTTTACTTTGGCATGATTTCTCACTTGCTCTGATGTCTTGCAGGAACTCACTGTGCTAAACTGAATGATTTCTTGGGATTATGGTTGCAATACTTCATCTGAGATCAGGGAGGGAGGGACAGCACCATCCCTCCTGCCCCACCACCATCTGGGCTTGCTATTTTCGACCTGAGGCGGTGGGGCGGGACAGCACCATCCCACCTGCCCTGCCGCCATCTCGGCCTAATATCTGTGACCCGGGGCAGCGAGCGTCTGTGTGCGACCTGACCCGGGGCGGCTGGATGGTGCAGCAGTGATCAACCAGCCTGCCCGGCCTCCATCCAGGCTTCCTGTGTGAGACCCGACCCGGGGTGGTCAGGTGGGGCAGCAGTGATCAGCCGGCCTGCCCGGCGTCCCATGTGCCACCCGACCCCGGGGCGGCGCCCAACCCCCGGATCGGCCCTGCCATGTGCGTGACCCGGGGAGGCGGGGCAGGCACTGAGGGATCGGGCCTGCCATCTGCCATCCGGGGAGTGGGCCTAAGCCAGCAGGTGGTTATCTCCTGAGGGGTCCCAGACTGTGAGAGGGCACAAGTGGGGCTGAGGGACACCCCCCACACCCCCTCCCCAACCAGTGCACAAATTTTTGTGCACCGGGCCTCTAGTATACTAATAATAGCCTAGGGCCATCACAACCAGATGACCGGTCATCATGAGAGGACCCTGCCTGGAACAGGGGCGAGGCTAGCCTTCAAATGCTGGTGGCCTCTAGCCCAGGCTGATCCAACACCCCAGAGGGGACCTCCACCATGATCAGGGGTGCTGCCAGCCTTCAAACCACTGGCGGCCCCTCACCCAGGCCAGGGTGGCACTGAGGGCTGGGCATGTGTGGTGCAGTCTTTTAAAAATAAAGGGCAGCTTCTCTAAGTGCAATCACCAAGGCGCAGCTCCACGCAGGCACACTGGGTCCACTGCCAGGCGCAGGAAAGCAGAGTCTGGGCTGGAGCAGCTGGAGTGCATGTGGCCAGGTGGGAGCTGCCCGAGAGCATGTGGCCGGATGGCCTTGGGGGCGTGCAGATGGATGGACCATGCTGGACGGACTGCACTGGTCGGAGCCGGAGGGCTGCGGAGGACTGCAGAGGTACAGTGGCCCACGGAGTCAGCGAGGCTGGGGTGCCAGGTATGCCCCAGGTCATCAGGTATCACCAGCTGCAGCTTGAACCTCTCCACCCCCACAGGGCCTGGGGCCTGGGGCCACACAGTCCACACCCACCCCAGCCGCTCAGCCCAGGGCTCTGCACAGGGTGGGGGTGGGGGTGGGGGCAGCCGGTGTAGCATTGTTGGTTAACTTTGCTGGGGAGTCCAAATTGGAATGAATGTACTGCAGCTGGTGGTGCTAGCCAGGTTAAGCTCCAGGAAGATGTTTTGTAAGAAGAGTGGGCAAGCATATTCTCCCAGTAGAGTTTTTATCACTAAGAATGATGTGAAGGAAGGCCTCTAGAAGTCTCACATTTTATATGACCGAGCAGGAGAAGAGCACTACAACTGCATCTCTGCTCTTCATAAGTTGATGCAGGGTTCAGATCCCCGCACCTCCTTCTACTGGCTGGCACGCATGCTAGAAGGAGGAGAGGACCCACTGTATGTGGCAAGGAGGCTGATGAGGTTTGCCAGCGAAGACATAAGTCTGGCAGACCCATTTGCATTAGCACAAGCACTGACCACCTACAAGGATTGTCACTTCATAGGCATGCCTTAATGTGAGATGCTTCTGGCCCAGTGTGTAGTTTATTTTTCCAGAACCTCAAAGTCTATTGAGGTGTACAGCACCTACAACAACGTCAAACCTGCCCGAGGAACCACCAGAGGCCTCTGCTCCCATCCCACTGCACCTAAGGAACTCGCCAACCCGGCTCATGAAGGACATGGGCTATGGCAAGGGCTGCAAATAATGTTTCAGAAGACCAAAGAAATACCAAGCATGCTTCCTAGAGAAAGGGAGGGACCCCGTTTGTTTATTTATTTATTTGTTTGTTTGTTTTTATTTTTTAATATATATTTTATTGATTTTTTTTACAGAGAGGAAGGGATAGAGAGTTAGAAATAAATCAGAGCGAGTAACACACAGAGGGCTTCACTTTTTATAACCTTCTGGGGTCTTTGTCTTGCCGATATGGTTCCTCCTTCTTTTGTGGGCTTACAGGAAGGCCCCCAGGTGTTGGGGGTCTCCAGTCCATATCTGATGATCTGTCCTGGGGCCAGCCATAACGACCTCCTCCCACCCAAGGCAGTGCATTGTTCACAGTTTTTATGGCCTGACACACCTTGCAAGACCAGTTTCCTCCTCAATACAACCCCATGTACAGTGAGCCTGTGGACCAGGAATACCTGCCTGAAGAATGGAGAGGAGTGGATTTCTTCAAGCAGAGGAGATGCTGACTTTTTGAGGCTCTGACAGCAGAAGGATGTTACTGTCTTTTCTTTCTTCCTCTTCTTCTTCTTTTTTTTTAAAATAGGAATGGCCAGAAAGAGAGTAAATGAATTGTGAAGTTGGTTAAAGTTAAAATAGCCCAACTTTTTGTGCCAGAAATTTGAGATTTCGTAAGTGGAGGCACAGCTATTTCAGCTAAATGTGTAATGCTGAATTGCATTAATTTGTACTCTACAATTGTTATGCGTTTGGAAGTGTCTGGCAGCTTTGTGCAATGAATCAATGTTATAAGGAATTATTTATTTTGTCATAGTATTTAAATCATAATGTCATTTCAGAATTCAGTTCTGTAGGATTTTTTTCCCCTTAAAAATGTATATTCTGGGTAGTTTTAATTGGTAAAAAAAATGTAATTGTGATTTAATACCGCATAGTGTTCTGGGGTATTTTTTAATATATAAAGGTCTTATAAGCTAATAAAACTATTTCAAAATAAAAACAAAACAAAACAGAACAAAACAAAAAACTTTTCTGGGGAGGCCAGTGGGGCTCCAGTGTGTTCGGGGCAGCCTGTTTCTGCCGGGACCTGGGTGCGCGGTCGTACACACGCTGTGGGCATGTGCTGGGAGCCTGCCACAGGCATCATATGGACATTTGTGCATGAAAACATGTGCACACACCTTTGTGTGCATAAATTCATCTGTTTCTCAGAAGCGTACCTGGAAAGGTGCTTTATCTATAATAGGCAGTTTTCAAAATGTAATCCAGAGCAAGGGATCTGTAGCGAAAACACGCACACAAGAAAAGGTTTTTTGATACTAAACACAAAGCTGTAATTGAAGTTTTTATGCCCAAATGTACTGTGAATCAAACATATGGTGATATTTATCGTCTGGTGGGTCTGTTTGAAAGGTTTGTTCAATCAGTTATCATTTTACAAAAATAAAGTAATGTAAGTGATTACCAATATATACTTCTAAGGCAAAGTAGTTTACCCACTTTGTGTGCCTTTTGCACGTGTGTAGCACATCAAGGCTGTTTATAAAGTATAACTTGGATGATGTGACAATATGGTTGAGGAAGGGGGTGTGATCAGTTGTTTTTAAAAATTAGGCACCTCAGAGTTTTTAAGACAAACGTGTTAATCTAAAGTATTCAGGAGGCAGGGACAGGGATCTTTTAAGACCTTTGTATAGGCCTAAGACATAAAAAAGCACCTACCTTTTTAAGATGTGGCCTAAAAGAAACCTATTATTTTCAGTTATTTCTGTCTTCAAAGTAAAATAACACTTTTTC